CCAGGAGACAGGCCAGTACATCGGGAGATGTGGAGGAGGCCGTAGGAGGGCAACAACCCAGCATCAGGACTGCTACCTCTGCCTTTCTGCAAGGAGGGACAGGAGGAGCACTGCCTGAGCCCTGCAAAATGACCTCCAGCGGGCCACAAATGTGCGTGTGGCTCCTCAAAAGGTCAGAAACAGACTCCATGTGGGTGGTATGAGGGCCCAACGTCTCGCTCCATCCACCAACGCCACTTTGCACCACAGACTGTCCAGGAGTTGGGGGATACTTTAGTCAAGGTGTGGGAGGAGGTCCCTCAGGAGACCATCCGCCACCTCATCAGGAACATGCCCAGGGGTTGTAGGGAGGTCATACAGGCACGTGGAGGCCACACACACTACTGAGCCTCATTTTGGCTTGTTTTAAGGACATTACATCAAAGTTGGATCAGCCTGTAGTGTTTTTTTCCTCTTTAATTTTGAGTGTAGATCCAAATCCAGACCTCCATGGGTTGCTCAGTTTGATTTCCATTGATCATTTTTGTGTGATTTTGTTGTCAGCACATTCAACTATGTAATGAACGAAGTATTTAATAAAAATATTTCATTCATTCAGATCTAAGATGTCTTATTTTTGTGTTCCTTTTATTTTTTTGAGCAGTGTAGATTAACAGAGTTGGAAGGGACCTTGTACGTCATCTAGTCCAGGGGCTTCTAATCTTTTGGACCTCAGGGACCACCAAACTCACAATTTTAGATCCCAAGGACCACTGACCGGTTCTGTGGGCGTGGCTTAATTTGTGGGTGTGGCTTGGTGGTCATGTGACTGGCTGGACATGGCTTGTATGTAAATATTATAAATATTTATATAAGTATTGATATTTTTATTAAAAAAGAGCAACTTTTACCCAAAATCAGGCAAAGCAGGCAGACTGAGTTGCTCACAGAATCATTCAGTGATCTATCTATCTGCCATCAGCTAGCTCAGTCTTTCAAATTTGCTTGCCGTGAGTCTGCACTGAATTTGCTTGCAAGCAAAACTTCAGTCCTAAGGGAGGTTTAGCTGCACTTAAAAGCAGAGCCGAAGATCTAAAGACTAGCTGGAAAGCAAGAAATCCAACCATTTTTTGCTTCCTAGCTAATTTAAATCTCCCGGCACAGAGAACAGATGATGGTTGGAAAAAGGAAAAATAGAAATTTAACAGGCAAGTTTGCTGGATAAGGAGTGAGTGGGCGGGGAAGGTCCCCGCGGGCCATGTGGGCGGTGCAGCCTTGTGTTTCTGCGCAGCCTGGATTAGTTGCTTTGGTGGGGGGGTGTTCTTGGAGTGAGAACACCAACATTTTCTGCAGCCCACCAAAATTTTCTCACAACCCACCAGTGGGCTGCGGCCCACCAGTTGCGACTGCTGATCTAGTCCAAGCAGGAGACACTACACATTTCTGACAGATGGTAATCCAGTCTCTTCTGGGAAGCCTCCAGGGACGAAGCGCCCACAACTTCCGAAGGCAACTTCTGTTCTGTTGGTTGATTGTTCTCACTGTCAGTTAATTTCTCCCTATTTCCAGGTTGAAACTCTCCTTGTTCAGCTTCCATCCACTATTCCTTGTCTGGCCTTCGGTGGCTTTGGAGAACAGCTTGACCCCCTTCCTCCTCTTTGTGGCAGCCCCTCAAATATTAGAAGATGCTCTCCTGTCTCCCCTGGTCCTTCTCTTCCCTAAACTAGCCAGGCCCAGTTCCTGCAACCGTTCATCATATGTTTTAATCTCCAGGCCTTTGATCATCTTAGATAGATCCAGATTAACAGTTGGAAGAGACCTTGTAGGTCATCTAGTCTAACCCCCACCCACCCAAGCACGACACCATGGTCCTTCTCTTCCCTGGACTAACCAGGCCCAGTTCCTGCAACCGGTCATCGTATGTTTGAGCCTCCAGTCCCCTAATCATCCTGGTTTTCTTCTCTGCACTCTTTCCGGAGTCTCAACATCTTTTTTATAGTGTGGTGACCAAAACTGGATGCAGTACCCTATGTGTAGTCTTACTATGGCTTTTTAGAGTGGTATTAGTACCTCCCTTGATCTGGACTGTGTTAGAAATAAGTAAATGCAAAAATAAAATGGTCCAGATGCTTAAAGGTGTCACAAATGGGGGTTGGACTGGATGACTTTGCGGGGTCCCTTCCAATCCTATTAATCTTCCAATCCTATTAATCTATCCCTTCCAATCCTATTAATCTATTAATCTATTAATCTATATATCTCCCTGTATATACATGTGCATTGCCTTCTGGGTGCGAGTGTGCGAGTGCGCATACAATTTTTGGCACAGGAGCCCAAAAAGATCAGCCACCACTGTCCCAGAGTGTCCTCAGTGCTTCGAAAGGAAGACTATCAGTAGACCAATCCATACGCGAGCCTGTCCAAACTTTGGGGCAACTTGGGCAAGGGGAGGGAGATCTTGAAGCGGGCACCCTCCGGTCATCCAGACTGGCCTCTTACCTTCCAGAGAGCGGGCCTTCAGCTCCCCTTTGGTCTTCTCCAGTTCCTGGCGCAAAGTCCGGTTTTGCTGCTCGGCTTCCTGCAACTGTCTTTGGGGGACACCACGAAGGTGGGAAGAGAAGCGGGAAGGGTTACCTGGGGAGGGGGGGACAACGTCCCCCTGGGACTCCCACTCCCATAATCCCTTGCCCCAGGCCACGTTGAAGTTCTCGCCCAAGTGTATTCCTTCTCCTGCTCCTTCCCGGAAGCACAGGTAGTCCTCAAACTTACAACCACAATGGAGCCCCAATTTTCCGTTGCTATTCCAAGATAGTTGTTTAGTGAGTTTTGCCCCATTTGGGGCTCCAGTTGTTAAGTGAATCAGTGCAGTTGTTCAGTCAGTAACAGGGTTATTAAGTCACTCCGGCTTCCCCATTGGCTTCGCCTGTCAGAAGGTTGCAAAAGGGGATCGTGTGACCCCAATATACTACGTTCTGACCCAGCTACCCAAACACGACAAACCTCTGACGTCAACTCCAAAGATTCCTCTCGCCGCAGGCTAACAAGTCCGTCCATCCGGAAAATGAATCGTTGTCTGCCACACCGATTTGTCTCCACACCCCCACACCCCCGCCTTTGATCCCCAGGGCTAGGATGGGGCTTTGCTAGCAGTGGCGGCTCTTTCATCCCAAGGACCGGCCCATAGATTTCCATTGCTCTCCTCTCCTCTGCTTTCTGCATCAGCCACTGGGCTCAGCTGTTCCTCCTCTTCTTCATCAACCACCTCCAGACCTGGGCGGTATGGACTCCCCATCTGAGGGCTGACAGATAGCCTGGGCTCTCCCTCTCCCTCTCTCTCTCCCTCCCTCTCCCTCTCTCCCTCTCTCTCTCTGCCACCTCCATTCCCTCTTCCCCCTCTGAACTCTCAGGTGATGCTGACCCCGACTCCTGGTCTGCCTCCTCCTCTTCCTCTGATTCGGCTGCTGGAGGCGCTGGCGGCCGAGAGGCCACAACACACCCTGCAACCGTTGTAAGTACATGCCAGTTGCCAAGGGTCTGAATTGGGACCGTGGTCGTAAGTGTGAAAAAAGGGTCCTAGGTCACTTTGGCTGTTTATATCTTGGAATGGTCACTAAGTGAATGGTTGTAAAGTTGAGGACTACCTGTATGTCTCTGAATTATGCCGAGAGTCTAAAGGGGCACCGGATGCTCGCCGGGCTCGGCCGCCTCTGCGCAAGGGCTCCGTGAGCGGGGGAGGGGGGGGAGGAAGTACCACCCACCGTTCCAGGCCCACGTGGGCCGCCTTCAACTGCTCCAGCTCCGTCTGGACACTCTGCTTGGCCCAGATCTCAGCCTCCAAGGCCGACTGCAGCTCCAACTTGGCCGAGGCCTCCACCTTCTGCAGCCGCCGAGCTTTCCAGAGGGTGTCCTGCAAGGGGGGAAGGAAGGCCGAGGGAGGGGGCCGTTGGTGCGAGGGGCAGGCTTGGTCTGGGGGGGCTGGGGGCAAAAGGGAGACCGGGGTGGGGTGGGGGTCGCACAGGGCACTGGCCACGGTTGTCCCCTGAAGGCGCTTTCAGGCTGGTGGGCCAAACGGTAGAGCGGGCCCCAGGCAGCGTAGCTGGGCAGCAAAGGTTTTACTGGTAGATGTGCCACCACCACCACCCCCAATATGGGAAGACTGACTGGGATTGGGAGTGAGCAAAGGAGGAGAGAAAAAGGGGGAAAAAAGGAAAGAATGAAGGGAGAAGAGGGAGGGAGGGAGGAAAAAGGAGGGAGAGAAAGGAGGAAAGAATGAAGGAAGAGAGGGAGGGAGGGAGAGAAGGAAACAGGGAAGGAATGAAGGAAAGAAGGAAAAAGGAAAGGGAAGAAGGGAGGGAAAAAGAGAAGAGGGAAGGAAGGGAGAAAAGGAGGGAAGGAAAGAATGAAGGAAGGAAAAAGAGAAAGAATGAAGGAAGAGAGGGAGGAAGGAAATAAGGAAAGAAAAAG